CCACCATCATGCTTTCAACTCCGGGATGGTTAAGGCATCCGCAGGGGCGTCATCACACACCCGAGCCAGCTAGGGAACGCCCAAGCCGCTGCCCCGCTTCGCCAGCAACCGCCCTATGGCCTAGTACCACCGTTACCAACCACTACAGACGGCAAAAACTCTCCAAGCGAGAGCAAAGAGGGAACGCCCACAGAAGAGAGAGGAAGCAGAAACCCCAAGCCATTGATGTTTAACAAGACTCTTATCAAGATTTGCACGAGCCAACTTCTTTTAACAAACTATATGCAGAGAGTTACAAAAATTGGAGATTTTGCTTTATGGGGTTCACTAATATCAACCGAAATAATGCAGAATCAAGAATCAACAAATGTGAGACGATGTAGGGGTAGACCCTCACTTGGAAATCCTGTTGCAGCCTGCTTCCATCGGCATCCACCTATTCTTTAGTGACTTGATTACGTAGACCAACTATAACTTCTGACAAACCGTACCAAGAATCAATCCCAGCATCATTTAGGCAATACATGACATGTATGATAACACCACATGAACAAGTCAGCCTGTTACTCTCTAATGGGTTATGTTGTTTTCAGGCAATTATGTCAAACACATCCTCTTCTGCTGCTTCGTCTGCATTAAAGGAATAAACATCAACAGGTGCCGTGGTGCAGCCAACAGTATTGTTCTGTTTAGATCTATTGTTGCTTCCAGAGCCGTTCTGTTGATCAAGATAAATTACAACCACAGTGATATCGTCATGAAAATAACGCCTTGCTCCCTTCTCTATCTTCTTTATATCATCATATCTTATCTCTCTCTTCCTTGCAACCTCCTGGAGCGCTGCTCTTACCAATCTCTTAGCAATTCCCTGCAAGTAGAAAAAGTTCAGTATCTTTGTATTCAACCCCAACTACAAAAGTACTTTAAATTGTTCTACACGGCTAGGACCAAATTTAATACTTTGGAAGATAACCATGTGTCCATTTTTAATATAATTATGAAGATGCTAAACAAAATAAGACGATCATGCCACCATATGGGGTTAGCTCTGCCCTGAGAAAAATTGGATGGATCAAATTGCCTAACTTGAAACTAAAACTGCAGTAAAAATTTGAAAAGGCTAATGTCACTTTTTAAGACAGAGATGAATTACCCACCGCTCTTGGGTTTTTCAATACAATCTCCACAGCAGTTTCATCACTCAACTGCTCCCAGAGGCCATCTGATGCAAAGATCAGGAAAAGGTCCTGTGGCTTGAGTTTTCTGATAATGATAGAGGGTTCAGCTGATATTACAGGTCTTTTCAGAGGAACAGGGTTTCCAAATTGCTGAAAGATTGGATCTCTATAAAATTCAGGTTTCTTCAAGTAAACATCCCCTATAGATCTGGACACCTGAAACAAGAAACTAGAACTGTTTAGAAAAGCATCATTAATCACATGCTCTATTATATCTAGTGTTACATCAACAGAGAATAGACACCACATCTTATTCTCTCAATTCATAGATGTAAACATGTAAAACTGCATATGCCTGATACATTAAGAAAGAAATCAACAAATGAGAACTAGAACAGAAAGGAAAGAAAAGAAAAGAGAAAAAAAAAGAAAAAGAAAAAAGAAAAAAGAGAGATTCGCTTTAGGTACTTAGGTTCTGCTCTATGCTTCATGGGGTCATCTCAAGAATGAAGACAAAATACTTGACAGGTAACTGCATGAGATGGTATCCAGAGCAGATTCCAGAAAAAGTATAGAAGATACAAACCCCTATTAGAGCAAATTACATCATAAGGAACAGTATGGACATATATGTATTCTCCATTTAGCAAAAATAAAAAGAAGATTTAGAGCACTGAGCTTAATAAAACATTAAAACAAAAACATTAAAACAATTATGCTCTTGTCAATTATTATAAAAGTATAATAATGTACCATAATAAGGAATAGGTTCTATAATTATGCATAATATACAATTAATACAGGCAGATTAGACAGTTTTAATTGTTATATTTACTCTTGGATTTTTAAACTCCAGTCACATGTTGAGAATGAAAGGTTAAACACAGAGAAAACATGCAAGTGTATGAGGCATAGATTTTGTATTAATGAAGCAAGTATATCACTGTTCCCAATACAATATTTTCATGGTTGACTTTACTGAGAACTTTACCTGAATTATGCCTTTAATCCTCCAAACTCCACGGGTGTAGACCACAATTTGTGAATCATCAGGATGGAGTTCCTCAACCTCCTTTCTCACCTCCTCTACTCCAACGTTGTGATCTGTTGACAGCCGTTCTGCCACCACCTTAATATTCTTATCCTCAGAAACTCTCCGCCCAAGAACTGCTCTTGAGTCACCAAGATTTGCCACATATAGTACATCATTTGAAATAGCACCAACCAGACAACATGATCCAACAGAAGCAATTTGAGGTCTCACTGGAAGAGCTTGCTTCACCAAATTCAGAAACTCTTGTTCAGTTGCACTAAATGCCCGCTTTATTACATCAACAGATAAGCCCCCTTGTTCTGCAGCAAATTCTGAAATTGAAACACATAAATCATGGTAAGTCAGCGTGTGTGAGAGAGAGAGAGAACTGAGGAGTGGGAGGGGCATGGGGATATGTAGTGGAGGATTTACTATCTTACATTGAATCAGATTCACTAAGCAAAATCATTAGGAACATAACTCAACAATTGCACTCAACAGTATTTATGTATTCAGTACTAAGACAAAGAAAAAAAACCAAAAGTAACACTCACAAGAATCATGTTCAAGGGGGATAACTCAAGAACTTTTCTAGTAATGGAAACAAAATCTGATATTCATAATAACAAAAATGAAAAATTGTGTGCCAAGGTATTGAAGGAGAAAGAGAATTACACCAATTCCAAGGTAAAACATCTAGGTACAAAAAGAAGCCAAGTAATCTAGAAAACATGTTTATATTCTGATATTCATTTATTTTTAGATGCACACCTGATCAGACAGAGATATATTAATAGACAGAAGCAGATCCACCAAATATAAATAAGCACAAGGCGCTTAAATTATTTAAAATATATAATTACCATAAGATTTTTTCTTCTTCTCACATCTGAGTGTAGACCAAAAGAAATTGAACATAAGAAATAACAAAACAGAGACATTTTGCATTAAGGGTTGGTGTAAATAGGAGGTAATGGGATCAACATTTACAGAGAAAATGCAATGATAGAAGGCAAAATGGCATCATCAATGAAGTTTTGAGGCTTAGGTCCACCATTCCCACACACATGAATGACAGCTGCTTCACATGAATACCAAATCAGACATGCAAGCAGAAACACATGCACGGATAACCAACATACATTAAAGAAAACCTACAATAATCATAAATATATATATGAAGAAGCAATATGAATCATCATCGCCACATGAAACCAAAATCTCAGTCATACAAAGAAAAAAGCAATAGAGAATCAAAGGAGAAGAAAATTACGATGCATAAACGGGAAGAGATGCTTGTTGACGAATCTGGAAGCCTCCGGTCCGCCATGTCCATCATACACGCCAACATACGTACCAAAAGGCGTCGAGAACACCTGACTCTGATCCTCCAGTCTGGAATTCGCCTGCACGACCGCGATCGAGAAGTCACCGGAGGCGTGCGGCTTGAGGTCCGTGTGCCACATCAAGCCGTCTCCACCAGCTCTGACACCAAAGCACCGCTCCAGCGGCCTGTAGAGCGAACGAAACGCCATCTTCCGCAGCGTATGATCAACAGTCCGGCCGTTCCTGGTTGATTTTCGACGGGGGGATGGTTATCGGTTTTGGAATGATGGAATCTAGGGTTTGGTCAGGGAATGGAAAAATTAGGAGAGTGGAGAGTGGGGTAAGGAGAAAGGAAAGATGCCGCGTGAAGGAGAAGACGACTCCCTCAACACCCTCTGCTCGATGTTTAAGTAGTTGCTACTCAACGCGGCGTCTATAAAGGCTGTTGAATATGTTTCCTACCTCC